CGGAAGAATGGCTTAGGGCGCCGAGCGGGCGCCGAGCGGCGCTGCAGCGTGCCACGGGACAGCGAAAGAGAAGGCCAGGAAGAAGGACGGAAGAATGGCTTAGAGCGCCGAGCGGGCGCCGAGCGGGCGCCGAGCGGCGCCACGGGACAGCGAAAGAGAAGGCAAGGAAGAAAGGACGGAAGAATGGAAAGGAAGGAAGCTTAGGGCGCCGAGCGGGCGCCGAGCGGCGCTGCAGAGTGCTGCGGGGCAACCAAAGAGAAGGCCAGAAAGAAAGGATGGAATGATGGAAAGACAGGAAGCTTATAGGGCACCGAGCAGGAACCGAGCGGCGCCGAGTGAGCGCGGAGCGGCGTTCAGAGCGCCGAGCGGGCGTTGAGCGGCGCTGCAGTGTGCCAGGGGATGCCACGGGCAAGCGAAAGAGAAGGCCAGGGGCCAGGAAGAAGGACGGAAGAATGGCTTAGGGCGCCGAGCGGGCGCCGAGCGGCGCTGCAGCGTGCCACGGACAGCGAAAGAGAAGGCAAGGAAGAAAGGACGGAAGAAATGGAAAGGAAGGAAGCTTAGGGCGCCGAGCGGGCGCCGAGCGGCGCTGCAGAGTGCTGCGGGACAACCAAAGAGAAGGCCAGAAAGAAAGGACGGAAGGGAAAAATATGAAAAATATCACCTTCACCTCAAAAGGACCAGTTTTACGAGGTCCTGCTGTAAACGACCCAGTTTTACGAGGTCACATTTTCTTTGACCTTCAAAAACTTTCAGGTCACCATTTCCACGGAAGATTCTTTGGGCATTAAGGTGACCACTGCCACAAAAATTTCTTTGGGCATTAAGGCCATTTCCATGGAACATTCTTTTGGGTTCGATGGATACATACATATGTGCATGCATACGGGAGACATGGTACCCATACGCTCACATTTAGCGGCGCCATGCCTTACGCAAGTCCACGCGTGCCAATCTTTTCTTGGTGTATTTGTTTTGCGCACGTTGTTTGCTCAATTCACCAGTTACATTGACATGATATACGTGGCTACGTGGGAGTCATGTTTGCTGCTTGCAATTGCGCGCGTGCATTGTTCAAGCCGATGACAGTTCATCGTGAAATCGCATTAGAAGCTTGCAGGTCCCATGCTATACTATAGAGTCACGCTAGAGTCACGCCCAATGATGTCCATGGCGAAGTTTTTGACGTCCTTTACCAAGTAAAGGACGTCAAAAACTTCGTGGTTTAGGTGGGAGTCACGCGAGAGTCACGGTAGAGTCACGGTCCCATGCCCGGGCCAGAAACGTCCAATGTCAACCACATGCGTTGTCTGTGTTGTAACGCATCGACCTTGCTGCATATTAACAAGATCTAGCAGCCTGGGCGCCATTTATATGATATGCATGCGCTTGTTGCCACAAATATTTTGTCTGTTGTTCGCGCGAAACGGACAGTAGAGCAAAACGCTCCTGGAAAGCCATTGGTGCAGTATGTTGAATCACAATCATCGTGCCATGTATTATATGTGCACCATATATGCATAAAGTAAAAGGCGTCTTTTACTTTTACCATTTGCCAAGTAAAAGACGTCTTTCACTAAGTAAAAGACGTCTTTTACTTCTTATAGTTGCCAAAGTAAAAGGCGTCCTTTACGGAGTAAAGTCAGGCTTTCCACCATTTCCACGAAAAGTTGTTGGAGGTCGAATTTTGCTATCAGTTTTGCAGAAAATAGAGCCCAGTAAAACGAGGCCTTTGATTTGGAGGGTCAATATATGCATAAATATATATAAATCAAAGAAATGACGCAAAGAAGACAAGATAGAAAGGAAGAAAGACAAGATAGAGAGGAAGATAGAAGGGCGATCCATGTGAACGAAACCGAGCGATGCGAAAAAAGACTGCTGATGCAATCGGGGTGCACCATTTCTGTGGTTTCTGACCAAAACGCAAAACATGGTGGAACCGTTTCTGTGGTTTAGGGGGGTGACCCCCCCCATAGATAAAGGGGGGTGATTATATGACAATAAACGCTCATTAGTAGCAGTATGCAGCAGTACACGGCTTAAGGCACTAAAATGCTTCTTGTGGCTGGAGTGCTTGGACTACATTGCACCATGTTTGGATTACTACGCACCTCCCTTCTTGAGTCAGCAATGGACAACCTTGCGCCACGTCCATGGATTCCATTGAGATCGCAAGGATCTAGACCAGCACGCGAGCTGTTGGTCATGGTAGGTGTTTACAGTTTGGGTGTTTAAAACCTGTTTCCTTCTGTGATGAAGGTCCATAGTAAGGTTCATAGGTTGATCAAGGTGTTGACTTCAAGCGCCAGTCGTCCGGGTTTTGCCCATGAGACCAAGAAGGTTGGGTGATCAGATGTTAGGAGCTGATCCAAACGGGGGACTACGAGCCTTCACAGGTGCGCCGCCTTGCCTTGGCACACGGATGTGTGGAACACTCCGAAGTGCGGACGGGGATGGGATGGTGAAACACCAAGACGATTTCAGCCAGTGAAAAGAGGTGTTCTCAGAAAGTACCGAAGCCCCGAAGCCCTCATCTAATATGCTTTGAGTGGACCAATCTTAGTCCGCCATGGCTGAGCCTGGTAAATCACATGTGTGGGGCTCCCACACATATGGTAGTTGCAGTTTGGTTTGGTCTCGTGTGTTGCATTGGATCTCTACAGAGACACGGTCCAAACCACAGAGACATGCTGCAACTTCTCATCAAGAGACACGGCCGACCTATTTAGGTCAGTCTTTTTGCCCAAGAAGTGGGCTGCAAAGGCCAGCGCAGGCCGGACTCTGTCAAAAATGGCCATGGAGAACGCGGAGAACGGAGAACGGTGGCACTCTTGCGGTGCCAAGACTGGTGTCCCCCAAACCACCTGTTTTGTAAGGCGCCGGACAGACCCTGGACCAGCCCCTAGAGTCTCATACAGCAAGCCCTTCCTTGCATTGCCCATGCTTAGACGATTGTGTTGAAGCTTGCAACACTACCCCAGTCACTACCCCTTATACTCGATCCTGCGCGACATGAAGCACAGCAAACATCACAAGTATCTCCATTACACACATCCTGTGCAGGAGCCAGCCGCAGTAGCCCAGGTGAAACTCGAGTCTCGAGCAGCCCAGATAGCTCGACAGGGCCACCAGCACCAACACCTTCACCGACCTCTGACACTACCGACATGGTGCCATTGGTTTGCTACACCTATGCCGAACTCTGACACCTAAGAGGCCTCCCCAAAAGATCCAGCTAAATCGTGAGATCCCCGTTCACTCCCTAACGCGTCACCTTTTGGCGCCCAGAACAACTTCAATTATTAAAAGTGAGGTCGTGGGCTTAAAACCAGAGGCGCTGTGAGAAGTCATAGCGCGGAAGCCAAAGAAGGGTGATGGCCTCTAAGGCAGCCAAGACCCCTCAAGACCCTTCAACACCAGCAGTGACGAGAGATCTTACATAACTCCTCGTAGGAGTGCACCAGAAATCCACGAGACGCGCTACCCAAGTGCTACCGGGTGCTACCGGAGTGTTCTGAGAACTGGGAAGAAAGCCTGACCCCCACGGGTCGGCCCGACGGGTCGGCTGGCGCCGCCAACGGCAGGTTCTTAGTCGACACCTTTGCCAACTTTGCATTCGCCCATGCGCCACCAGCCTGGCCATTGGACGAGAAGCCCTTAGGCCACTTCTATGAGGCAGGAGGTCTGGCATGGGCGGAAGTGAAAGTCATCACCCCACAAACAAAAAATACAGAAAAGTAAAGCGTTTAGATGGAAATGTCATTGTGCTTTATTTTTTGCCAAATGGATTCACTTCTGTGTACCTTTGTGTGCACATCTGTAGATAGAGATGTTAGTTTCATGATTTTTACCTATTTTTACCACTTGAAGGAGCCAGTGGTTTCCAAGATTACGCAAGTCGCCCGACGCCATGTTTCAGATCTTTGGACTGACTGCCTGGATTGACTGTGGATTCCCAGCGGATAGACTGGAATCATGCTGAACCAGTGAGCGACAGAATTTTATCCTAGAAACATGGAAGGAAATCCTCGTGAGGAGCAGGGCCTGGCCATTTCACTGATCGATGTTTCTTTCGGGAGCAGGGCCTGGCCACTGTCAAAGAAAAAGAGAGGACGGACAGTTTGAGTGGACGCTTTTGAAAGGCCACCCAAAAGGATGGCCTTTTGTTTGCGTGGGCATGCATGGAATCCTCACCCACTTTTGCGTGCGAAGATGAAAACACAATATAAATATGTAAACACATGTAGAATGTAGAACATATTCTATATATATAAATAACTATCTTTACATGCAAACCATAATCTATAGTTATATATACTACAAACAAAGAACATGTAAGACATTTATAGTTATAACAAAAAAACGAAAGGTTGTTACATGTCTTTGTTTGCTGCTCCAGGTGATCCTTGAGAATCGGCCTTGCTGGCTGTACTTCGACTTGGAATTCTCCAAAGAGGCCAACCCTTCACTGGATCCCACGGTCGTCATGGAGGCCTTTCGAGGCTCGATCGGCGATCGGCTCGATCGGTTTCGCAGAAGTCATTCAACCGCATTGCTTTCTGATGCAGGGTGTTTTGCAGGGTGTTTTGTTGAAGTCAGTGAACAAAAAGTACCGAGTATGTACGATGTTTTACACATACTGCAATTTTATTGTCCATCCTTTTTGAAGTGTTCAATCGTTTCAACCGTGTCAACCCATGTCAACCCTGAGAGGAACTCTCTCTGCCTTTTGCCAAGAAAAGCTGGGCATGTCATTGGACTTCTCCAGCATGGTGGAGCTAGAATCATCCACTGAGAAGAAGTTCTCACGACATGTGATTGTACAGCGGCTTCTACGACGAGATGCTCAGCAGCTCAACTTGGCGTTTGCAAACAATGCCCAGGCGGGGGCAAACCCCTGATGAACCTTTTGGATGTTCAGGGTGTCATCAACCCGGCTCCAACCACATCCCCGGAAGGTGGGCCAGGGATGGGTTTGGGGGGTTGAACCACCTGAGGATATGGTTGGGGCCCGGCTTTGGCCTAGAATGTGGTTGAGAGACTGCGCTCCTAGCATGCATCAGAATCCAAGGTAGTCTTCATGGCAGAGTGTGAAAGGTGTTGTTCAGTTGCAGTAAGGGTTTTGGATAGTGAGCATGGTGTAATTATAGTGTATTTTGTCCAATGTGTTTGCTTCATGTATCTTCATGTGAAAATGTCAATTTGCCTTTATCCCTGCAGCTCATACACAATTGATCCTTGGCAGACCAACGCAGACCCTGAGGCTGGCTTACTTGTTGATACTCTTGTACGCTATGCTGAAGCGCATCGCGAAGAAGAGTGCATCGCACAACACCTCTTCGTTCAAGCGCCCAGTCGCGGGGACGAAGAAAGCCGCTGCACATGTGTGATCGACGAATCGGTCTACAGCCGGAACCGATCCTTTCGTCTTCTCTTCCAGTCCAAATTTGGCAAAGATCGCAGGTTGGACCTGGACCCGAAGATGGAACATGTGTTTTTTGGTGGAAAGCCACATCCCTGCGTTGCCTTGCTACGGACCATGGCCTCCTTCGTTCCCGATGGTACTGAGCTTTTCCAACACGAGATTATTCCAAAGGAGTATTCGCACAGGCAACTGAAAGCATCTCGGATGTCACGTGGTGGCTCTGTCTTGATCCGCAAAGAGAATGGCACCATGGTCACAGCACACTGCGACCCCTTGGTTCATCATTTGCTCCGTGCTTGGGATGAGGTTCGCCAGTTGAATGAAAAGGACTTCCGGGAACCGGCTGCGGCCACAGTAGTTCAATCAGTTGTGGAGATGGACAACCGCTACATCACAGTGACCTTGGGCAACAATCACTACTGCTTCTGCAAGGGATCCTCTCATTTGAGAAATCATGTTTACCTGGTGGTTGATGTGCTGCAAGCATCATTCCATCAGCGCCTTCGGTTTTTACTTGGAAACGTGAGACGGCGGTACCGTGCCTCTTCGATCGAGGTTGCATAGGGGTTGTCGACCAGTGGACCACAAAAGGTCCAAGATTAATCAAGGTCTTAAGGGATTTCCTTCATGTAAACACTTCAAGTTTAGGAGCGTTCGGACGCTACGAACGGGGCTCCTGGCCTTACTACTAGGAACATCTAGGAACAAGAAGCTACGAACGGAACAAAGGGCATTGCTACGAACGGAGCGTTCGGACGCTACGAACGGTGCTACCCTGGATGGACGATGGGTTCTTCATGGTTCTTCCTTTCTTCCAGCGACGCAGGAGGCCACTCCTGAACGCCCTCGGCGGCCATGCAACCATTGTGTTGCTGATTTCACTGGGGGCGAACAAGAATACGCCTCCAAAAGGGGTAGCACTTTGTAGCACTTTGTATCGGTTCATTATGCATGCTAGGTCATAGAGTAGGTAGCCATAGAGTTGAATGAATAAGGCTTGAATAAGGCACAACAATCATCAACAAATCCCTCCTGTGCGAAACTCGACAATTCTGTTCATTGACTAGGAGGTTTTTCAACATGGGGTGTTCGAGTGTTCGGTTGGTGTTTCATGAACTTGGTTTCACTCCTTCAGTCATTCGCTGATGCACAGGGGGACCTTTCAGGGGGAGCTTTGTTCCGCGGAAGTGCCGCTGGCCGAGGAAGTGCTTTGACCCTGATTGTCGTAGTTTCGCATCGTGCAGCTTCGCTATACCTTCATGGATTATCGAGAGCATGCTGGAGGAGCCATGACGCAATCGACCCCGCCTGAATTCAGGCGTTTTCTTTTAAATGTGTTTTTTCAGGCGTTGGGACCTGGGGACCTCGCCAGATCCTCTCTTCAGGAGGAGGAGTTCTTGAATTTGGTCACTGCACCTTCGGACCCGATCGAGGACTGGTGCAACATCGGATCCGCTCCGCACCGGGGTGATTCGGGGTGTTCGGTCACGACGGGGACCTGTACGGGGTTGAAGAAATGAGATGAAGAAACATGAAGGTTCTGGGAGACCCTGAGAGGCCCTGAGCAATGTCAACATGATTCAACATGATTCAACATTGCCGTTATTTTTTTGTTGGCCCCTGGCCTTACTTGCGCAGATGACTTGAGCATACTCGACCCAAGAAAAAGCGGTTGATAAGCTGGTGGATCAAGGGGTATGGTGTTGCCAGACCACAGACCATGCTTGTGAGGGTCACTAGCAGCCTACTACCAGCAGAAAGTCTTTCTTTGGAAAGAGGTTGATGCCTTAGCCAAGACTAACATCCCAAATCCAAGCCACTGAAAATGATCTTCCAGATATCGAGCACTTGGGTCTAGAGTCTAGACGCTTCGTCAAAACCTTGGAGGGCCAATCCACCCACGATGTGGAGAGCCATTAAAGAGAACGTGTCCAGCAGATACTGGTAGGGTCAGAAGTGTTCTTGTTCACTGTTGATCTTCCATGAGTTTCCCCTCGTTCTCAAATCAGCAACCAAGGCAGTTCAATGCATAGCCGCCGCTTTCTTTGTGTTGTTCATGGCTTCCAAAGGGTGATAATATACTTATAGATACTTATAGTAAGGTTTAAGGGTGTTGCCAAATTATATGACCTCTAAGACATTATGCCGAAGAAGCTTCACTTCCGACTTCCGACCATTTTTTTGTCCGGGTCTTTTGCCTCTCGGCAGGCCGAAACGGAGCCAGTCACAAAGCGTTTGCGAATCGAAGAGGGTGGAGCCTGACCATCCATTGCATGGGGAAAATGATGTCGTTGGTTTTTGCGGTTGCGAGTTCCTGGAGCTATCCAAGTAAATTCACGTGTCACATAAGTTCTATAGGCCTAGTGGATGTCTCAATGGTTTTGAATATCAATATTTCAATGTATGTCAATGTCTCCTCATGTTGATGCTGCTTGCCACTGCTGGCTCAAGATCAAGGCATTCCTTTTCCCCAAAAAAGTGCACGAGCCACCTTTGGGCGATGAAGATTTTTCTGGCATTCTTGGCTGTGGCCAGGCAGGTCACCCCAGAAACAGAACCGGTCTCCTTTTGCTTCTGTGTCGGTGAGTTCTGAGAATTCGCTTCTTTTTGGCTTTCAATTTGCGGCTCCTGAGAAAGATGTTGGTGGCTGGGCTAAGCTTCAGATTCTCGAGGGCTCGAGGGGCGGCATCGGCTCGCCGATGCCAATCCTTTGTCGATGAACCGCGATACATTCCTAGGCAGTTCGTCCAAAAGCGGGTGCCGTTGGAGTCCGGGCACCAGCCACCCAACAAGTGGCGATGCCAGTGGCCAATAGAAGTGGACAAGCTAACTGCACTGTTCGATCCAAGGAGTCAAATGGATCGGATCTTACAGTCCTGAATCATTGGGACCCCTAGGATCCTTCGATCGGCTGCTTTTCCGCACCGCTGAGTACCCTAAACGTGCTCCTGTGCTCCACAGAAACAGCCACCAGTTTACAAATACTTGAATTCAAGAAACACATGTTGCTTGACAATCAAGCTTTAGCCAAAAAGAAGATAAATCCACCACCTCCTCCCCTCTTTCAATCCCCCAAAAACAGTCTATAGAAGACATGGAGAAACCTCTCGCAACAGGTCTCTTTCTCTCTTTCGAACCGCGAGCACCGCGTAGAGGTCCGCAGATGTGAACGCATCTCGTTGGCCTCCTGAGCAGCTGTATTGGGATGGCCAGTGCAGCGCCTGCCCGGCCAAGCTTTACCAGGGACCGGCGGAGGGATGGCCAGAAGGGGCCAGGGTCGGGCCGAGTAGTTCTGGGAGTCTCCGACGCTTGAAATTGGTCGACCCGAGGTCAGGCACTTCCTTTACATCAATGTGGCAAAGACTTTGCCTTTGGACTTCCAGGGTGTAAGTAGTCCTCACAAGTTGCCTGCAGCCTGAGCAGTGCAAGGACGTCCAGGCGTGCCTGTACGTTTCAGATGCAGAGACATATATATATATATATAGGAACACAAAAAATTCAATGAACGCGAAGCAGCACAACGATGACTTCAGCCATGTTCAGCCTACAGCCTACATGGCACAGCTGATCCCCACCTTAAGTTGATAGAGATCCCATCGTCGGTTCACCAGCCTGGGCAGATGTTCGTGGAGTGACCCACTGAGATTCACCTACTTCAACCCACTGAGCGAGCTTCGCTCCTGTGACAGCAGCAAGGAGACCACTGCATGGAGGGCGGCGTGCTGGTGGGCGAACGCGCTTGCAATGGTGCACTTTGTGAGGGTCAATGCACTAAGCCAGTCCTCTCTGGAGCACCTGAGCCCAGCTTCTACTGGGATGCTTTTCTTGCGCAAATTCAAGTTAATTTTTGTGTTGCCTGTTAGATCTGTTAGTCGCCTTGCTTTCAACACACAATTTGGGGAAATTCATTGGCCAGTCTTCTGGCTATACTTTGGAGCAAGGGTAGGTAGCTGCCACAAGTCCATGTGTGTTTTTCCGCTTTGCTTTCAAAATCAGCCTGGCCACACATTCCGTTGCTTTGCCTTAGCTGTTTTCGGAAAAGAAATTGCGGCACCAAAAAGCTTTTTCAGGATGGTGAATGCACTGCGTGCCCATCCAAGCTCTACAAGAACAGCCACTGTTCTCGCGGCGGAGTGATCGTCGATCAGCGTCCCTGTGGTCCTGCCAACGCCCACTGCGAGGCGAAGTGTCGGCTTCCGCAATCCTCGCCTTCGCCAGAACCAGAGCTCTATTGGGATGGGCCGCTCGGTCTAGGGAGAAAGCATTGGTCATGAAGCATAATGAGCATTGGTCGGGAAAGGGACGGGGTGGGTTTTGATTTGGTCGGTTGAATCAGGGTTGCTCGGTTTGAGCTCTCAGTTGAGCTCTGTCCTGGACAGGGGCAACTGGATATTTGATTGACTATTTTGCTTATGTTAGGCAGGTTCACCCAGAGTGTCACGTGACTGCCTGCCAATTCAGAACGGTTTCTCGCGCAATCGGAGCCAAGTAGCTGGGGTACCATGAGTCAGCAGAGTGAGTGTAGATGCACAAACCACTTTTGACCAATTCAGGTAGGGTCTTCAGTACGAACCACCCACAACCCCACGCGCTCTCTCTCTCTCTATAATATATATATATATACACTCAGGGCCAGTCACATTGAAGATTTTTGCCCTCCTCCACTACACCAGAGCTAGTTACCTGACTCGCCTCCTCGTGGCTCGGGCACCTCGTGTCGGCTTTTCGAGGCAGTGTAAGGCGTGTCCAGCGCACTTGTACAGTCACTGCTCAGCTGGTGGAAGCCTGGTGGGTGAACGTGGATGTGGCCTCTTGGCGGAGCTGAGGGGGGCGCGGTGCCGCGGTTCGTGGTTTTCCTCCGGTTCGAAGCCCAAGCCGCCTTGGAAGACCAAGCCGAGACTGCTAGAGGAGGTTGGAGGTTCTTTGGGAGTGAAAACAGAGAAAGCTGCGAATGGGAGCCAAACCTGTTGGATCTCGGAAGAGCCAAATCATCGCTGTGCCTACGATGAAATGGCATTTCCTCATTTGGATTTGCCATGATCTAGAAGTCAGCTTGAGAGAGGAACATGCCATTTCGCCACTCTAAACCTTTACGGTTGTGAACCTTGAAAATTATGATAGAACTAGGGTCTTAGGTTTTCCGCGGCAAGGGCATGCATATTCATCTCTTGATTTCGGAGAATCATCGCAGACGATCCAAATATTTCAGACCCCAAGCAGCTTCTCTCAAACCTCTAGACGTTAGACTCTACCTCCTGAAAACCTCTTTAAAACCTCTAGTAGCAAGGACGCTACTGGTAACAAAGGGCATCGCTATTAGGAACAAGTGCATCGCTCCTAGAAGCTAATTTGCTACTAGTAGCAATGCCCTTGTTCCTAGTAGCGATGCACCTTGTTACGTTCGTAGCGATGCACCTTACGCTACTAGTAGCGTCCTCGCAGGTTTTGCCAACATCTTTTGCGAGGGCCACTGTGAGCGCCCAGCGGCCGCCCCACGTCCTGCGGATTGGATCATCGTGGGGGGCGGTGCCTCCGGGTGCAGCGCCGCCGCAGCGCTGGCAGACGCTGGGGAGGAGGTGCTGGTCCTGGAGCGCGGACAATCTGATCTGGACCGCAACACGGGAGTTGTGACTTGGGGGGTTGGAGGGTGAGAAGTATGCTGGCTATGCTGGCTATGAATTTGGGTGATCTATCAGGTCAAGCATAACATATAGGATACGTATAGTATATATATATATATGTATTCGTATGTGGGTGGTCATATGTGTTTTTTCCCCACCTGTCAGGTGAGGGTTGTTAGATTCTAGATTTTAGAGGATTTTTGAAGAGGATCCCGCGACTCCTTCTCCTCCTCTCCTCTCCTCTGCTCTCCTCCTCGCCTCAACTGCCAGCTCCAGATCGCAGAGGGCACTCCCGGAACTCAACAGCAAGCTCCAGATCGCAGTAGGCACTCCGGGACCTCAACAGCAAGCTCACCATGGCAGTGGGTCCCGGAACTCATCAGCAAGCTCCAGATCACAGTGGGCACTTCCGGACCCCAACCGCAAGCTCCAGTTCACAGTGGGCACTCCAGCAAGCGCCAGGCACTGCCAGGCCTCAAGGTCCAGATTGCAGTGGGCTCTCCGGGCCGGAAATGGGCCTTGAACCGTAGTTGGCCTGTCCAACTGGTGGGTTGGAAAGCACCGAGAGACACCCACAAGTTTGTTTGATGCTTGTCAAAAACCACCCACTGGGAGTCCTACAAAGTCAACTGATCAAGGGACTGCATAATTTGTAAGGTGAGGATATTTTATTGATCCTGACCGGGTTCTTTTTTGCAGAGAGTTCATTTATGTTGGCTTCACACCCCACATTGTGCATCATAAAGCCCTAGTTTTTTATGCGCTTAGAAGTGTATGGGGCGTTTTTCTACTTCAACCGACAAGTATCCTTGAAAGTACCCTTGAATAGAAAGGAGTCACCCAATAACATATTTGGATGTGCAAGCTTCCATCCATGTTGTCTGACAGTTTTTGCAGACCGCGTGCCATGTGACAGACAAACCCAAAAACACATTTTTCCCCACCCTTGTCACCCTCCAAGTGCGAGGACTTCTTCCAAATCAACAGTTTTTGGATCATTTGTGACGATTCCTGTCCAAATTTTTCAATCCAACCAAAGACCCCCGTACAAAGACCGATCCGGTTGCCACCCAGTCGTTGCAGCCGTTGCTATGTCAGTTCTTAAGATTGCCAGACATCCCAAAGGACATCCCAAAGACGGAGTACGCAAATACCTGGCCTCAAGTCGTGAACACCGACGCAGCGCAGCTCATCCGCTGGAAAGACCAGACCTGGGGTGCTGTGGCCAACGTCTTAGGCGGCGGAACCTCCATCAACGGAGGGCTCTACATTGACACTTTGGAGCAAGGACACTAGCACTGGCTGGCTCCCTCATACCATGGGTAGTACCATGGGTTTATTATGTAGTGATTTTATTTCAATGCGTAGCAAGGTTTCTCAATTGCAGAATCGGTCTGGCATAAGCCGTTGAGTGAATCTGCTGACACCGTGCTACCCAAATTAACATAATAACTATATCAGGGTTTTGGGGCATGCGGCATGCATTTTCCTTACTGCATTGCATTCCTTATCCGGTGCTGTGGCTCCCTAGCCTGCGGCCATGGCCTGTGCCCGGCGTTTTCTGCGGGTCGTTCGGGTCGGGCAGCGGTTGGCCTGTTGGGGTCATTTTTTTCTCAGCTGAGGAAGAGGATCCGGATTACTTCCAGAAAAACTTCGATGAGGCAGCGGATGTGTTCCACCCGCCGGACCATCAGGTGTTTAACGTTTTGTGGAAGCACTGTAAAGGTCCCATCCCCTGTTTTGAGGTGGCCCTCAAGCACTTTTGAAAGGAGTCCTTTCAGAAACACTTCCGTTGAGATGCTACTTGTACGTGTATTGTTGTCAGTTCTGTGTGGGTGTTCTTCACCCATGGCCGTATGGATTAGACCGGTGCCCAGGCTGTCTCCCAAACGAGCCATGCTTTTGGATGCTGAGTGGCAACAATAAGAAACAGCAAGTGATGAACATCTAGCATGACATGCTTTCACCAAGTAAACTTTTTGCGACTTTTTGACATGTCTTCGCAGGACCCCCGCGAGTGCGAGCAAACAAAGCAAACAATGGAACAAGAATTTGGTCTGCCGGCGTCCTTCTATTCTAGCATCCAACCAGCACGTGGAACTTCCACTTGGACCTTCCCTGAGTATGCCCGTTTTTCCCTTCTAGCCCAGTTCATCCATCTAGTTGTAGCACACTTCTCAAACAAGGATAGCCACAAGGGGCTTTCAAACAGGACTGTCCTGTGCTAGCAGAGTGTATGGGTCCACCTTTGCTTTTGAGAGCATTCTTGAAGAAGGTTGCAGGTTGCCGTGGACTTGCATATGTTAGTGAATCCAGGTTGCCACTGTCAAGGAATAAAGGTGTCCATAAGGTCTACGCCCACGTCGCGGTTGGAATCCGCTGCCGGATCTTCCGGGATGTCCACGTCGCTCGTAGCTCTTCCGCCCAGACCTTCAATCTCACGGATTTCTACGCCTCTTCCAAGTGGGTGGCCGAGCAGCTCAGCGTCCCCTTGCGTGGCTCCAACTTCGGTCATCGCTACGCCAAGGCCCTTTACCAGGCCGGCGAGGCTTGGCGCAGCAGCAACAAAGATTCAGCTTCACAAACATTAGGACACCCTAGCTGGCCATTACCTGTAACAGTCAGCAAGCAATTTTCACTACTTTGGAGAAAGGCCTTTACTAACCATCATCATCCGCTATGTAGGCTCTTCATTAATAGAACCCCCAGAATGACGAGATGCATATCAATCAACATGATATACATATGCAGCATATGCATATCATATCAATCAACAGTCTACATTACTTGAAAATCTTAACAGTGCAGAATATTACACGACTTTTTAAGCGGACCCAAGAATTGACTGGGAGGTTGAACAACTGGACCTTGTCAGCAATTATCCCCAGCAGGCTTACCTTGGAGTCAAGAACATGGGATGATTTATGATAATTTCATATAATTAGATGTGCATTATTATTATGTTGATTGAAGCACACCCTTCTGAACACCTATTCATCGTTACTTGATTGTATATTAGATAAACATGACAATCTCCTACTACTCGGCCAGGTATTGCCTGCGTGCTTTGTAGCTGAAGTGGAACGACTGTCGGAACGTCCCCATGAGGCCATCCACGCTCCACCGGTTTGAACATGCCACCCGACACCCGAAGTGTGGTGATGCCCCACCGATTTTACAGCAATAATCAAGAATCATGTTATTACAGTATATGCCAGTAATTATGTGTAATACCTGTAATACAGTAATAGGGTATGATGTTTGGTATTATGTATGTTTGGGTATTATGTATAGGCATAGTCCCAGATCTAGACATATATATATATACTAATATATACCTGCCTTTTTGATCGCCGCCTGACACCTGACATCTTCCGTTGACCTTCCTGCGGAACCGAAGCGCGCCGAACCGTCCCGGTTTCCGGTCCGTCGGGATGTCTCGAAAAGCCCAGGAAGGAAGTCCAGATCCACAGCCCAGCGTGAGGATGATCAAAGACAGTTCTTGGGCCACTTGGTGTGATGCCCGATGGCCTTTAAATAGATGGGATGGGATGAGTAAAGCAGATTGGGTTGCTAAGAACCGCTTTAGGAGGAGAAACATGACATTCAATGAGCAGGCATAAGCGGGTTCAGGAACAGCGGGCTTTCCTTTAAGAAAGAGACGAGACATGCAGAATCATATTTATCCTTGGGAGACGAGACACTGCGACCAGTCCACGTGCAGAATGTCCCCGTGATGGTTTTCCCACTTCCTCAAGCCAGGAAGTGCCAAACCGACATGGCAACTGCCAACTCTCTGCTTGCTTCCCCCATGCGAGCTCGCTGCCCGCTGCCGTCACCAGTGATCTGAATCCCGCCTTTTTCAAGCGCCCCATCCGTATAGACGCGCCCCATCCGTATAGAAACTCTTAGGGGTTGGAACCCGAAGAACTCCCCAGCTGAACTTTAAACACCACTCACGTACTGTACACGAATGCCTTACTCAAACAAGGTCTTTAATCGACTTTTTTTGTTTGGTGTACCTCAGACATCATTCTACTGGAACTTGACCTGGTTGACTTACTGCAGGAACAGCAGATTGCTTGGGGAAGAGAGAGACCCCTGTGTAGAAGAGTCCTGGAATTGTTCCTGGAGACCCGTTGATCGAAAGTAAAACACAGACAACGCCTGAGATTCAACAGATTCCAAGTGCTCCTACCGACTCCAAGTCGAGGATGTCCAGATTTCGGGAGTACAAACGGAGCCACATGGGACCACCATTTGTTTTACGTGTCCATCGTAAGAGATGCTTTGTAACCTGAACCATCGATGTGTTCGACCACTTGAAGAACAGACCTTCCAATGTGAACCCACAGATGCTCAGTCGGTGCCCGTGCTCAAACGAGCACTCTTGACTCTGACTGGCTGTAAAACCCGACCAACACCCGACCAACGCCTGACTCGAAAGGCTGTAAAAGCCCTCGCCACTCAACCCAGGTGGCTTCTGCGACCTTCAACACCTCGAAAGAGACGTGGATCCGCCGTGGGGCGGCCGCGCTGCTCCATGAGTCCCGCGGTCCACGTCCGCGTCCACACCGGGCGCCGAGGGGGGTCGGAGGTGGTCGCCGTGGTGCTCCGAGAAAGTGAGGGAAAGCCTATAGAAAGCCTACATAGAGCCTGACTGACCTCTGTTTTGATAGGAAAAGACCATATTTTGGGTAGTTGATCCTCCAAAACGGTGGTCACAAAAAGGCTCCAGGTATATATAGTATATCAAAATGGGGTTGGACGGTGTATTCCTTAAGATGTTCATCTGGTATTTCATCTGGTATTTCGCTCCTTGGACAGTGGGGCAGTGCTCAAAACGGCTGTGGCTTGCTCAGGTAGATGTTCTCTTTGGAAGTGGAATGGTGTTCAGTCCCTGTGACACACTCACAAAATCTCACAATACACATTGCTTCTAGGCGATCCTCTCTCAAGAACCTGAGATTCTTCACTGGCTATCAGGCAAGGTGGGCCAAATCGCCAGAGTCTACGGCCAAAAGACTTTCACAGCTCTAAGTCTGATAATCAATACGAGATAATTCTACCTAAATCTACCTAACGGCTGAATGCTTGTCAAAGCTAGCTTATCTAGCTTTATTTGGCCACTTAAACCTCGCTCTGGAGCGAAGGGATGAGAATGCCGCAACAAATGGAGAGACCGCGACCGGAGGTCAAGAGGATCAATTTTGAAGGAAGCCGCGCCACCAGTGTCTTAGCAGAGAACAACTTCAACGAATGGGTCACCATTGAAGCTCGCAAGGGTGTGATCCTAGCTGGTGGTGCTGTGTCTTGGCATCACCTCAGGATGTTGTTTTGATATGTTTCGATTCTTGATTCCACCTGGTCCCTACTTGTTGAGATCTGATAGAATTCAAGCTTGTACAGTCAGTTGCATCTTTCAAGCAACTGGTCTTGGTTTCTCACAAAGACCACCTATTTCAGGTCTTCACTCCTCAAATTCTGCAAGTCTCTGGCATCGGCGACCCCAGCCTCCTGAGCCAGCTGGGCGTGGCAGAAGTGGTGCCCAACGCTGACGTCGGCAGGAACTTCGTGGACCGTGCGATCCTGAACTTTGGTGCCCCGACCGGAAGCGATGGAGGCCATCGCGGGTTGAAGCGATGGAGGCCATCGCGGGTAGGGTGGAGGCCATGACTAATTAGTAGCAAGAAGCTACTACTGGTAGTAACAACGGGAGGAGGGTCCGGAAGCGACGGTCTTTTCGATGGATGATTGGACCGCTGGGGAAGGGGGCGATCTGGGCAGACATCGAGTTCAGGGAGACATGACCCGACTATGTGGAACCATGTGGAAAGGTGATGAGAATTGATTCCTGCCAAGACAGGTTAAGTGATCTTATAGGACCCTAGTGGGGTACATGTGGGATAGTCTATAGGGTCCTTCAACCTCTGTTCCTGAGCTTGGCGCTCATGCAAAATTAGATCAGATTGTGCAGGTACGTGGCAACATTTGCCACCTCGGTTGCGAAGAAGTCAGTCTTGCTCAAGTGAGGTCTCCCTGGGACGGTTTGGTGATGAAAAGTCAAGTCATTGGATGGCTTTGGATGGCAAGTGAGGTCCCAAACAAAAAGTCAAGGCCGGGTCACATCCCACCTCTCAGGATTTGAGAACGTCAGGCCCTGTGCCTGCCAGGTCGCGACGGCGGAACAAATCACGAGCAGAAAGAGGTCGAGTAAACTTCATGAAATGTCATGTTCTCAGGCTGAGATCTATTAAAAACAAAAAAACGTACTTATGCGTGGCTTTTATATATATATATAGATAGATCTTTTTTATGCGTTATTTGTTTGTTTGGTTGGGTCCTTCCTTTTTTTCTGTGCATGTACGTAGCTCGATAAGAGGCCACTTCGGGTTGAGAGTCCGACTGGGCTATGAGTCCACAAGTGTTGGGCTATGTTCCTCATTGTTCCCAGTCAATTTGGGAGGTTTTCTTTTGGACAAGACATACCACGTAGCCCATACTCTTGATCAGACTGCCACTAAATCACTTGACGAGCACCACTTGCTGTTCCCCAGAGGGCTGGCGAGTCACATGCTCGAAGGTTCATGACATGAAAGCTATTGAAAGCCTCCAAGCGTCTAAGTTGGATTCGAAGCATAAAAGGATCCCACTCGCTTTTCTTCAGCTTCCACGTGGATTCTTTGGAGGCAACAGAAAGCTCTTGGCATGGATGACATGTCTTTTCGGAAGACCTTCTTTGTGTGCAACAGCTGTTGGCTTTCATCATTTGCTTTTTGCTGTTGCCCGGCTGTTGCGTCTCAGCACCAAGGTGTTTGGGCGTCTCAGCACAAGCCGCTCTATGTGGGATATGCCATGTCTTCCAACACCACCTCGAACATCACCATCGAAGCGGAAGGCGTGTTATGTTTGGCAAGACCACTGGCGAAATTGATGACTGGTTTAAGTGATTGCTGTAATCCACAGCAGGTGTTCCTAGTGGGGCTAGTCCGTAGTTATGTTTGTCTTCCACTGGGCTCCGTCGGAACGTGGGTGGAATGTGCTGGACAAGTGGTTGTTCCACCTGAGACATCTCCGACACTGGGCTCCGTCAGACGTCGGTGTTGATTCCAACGTTGGATGGACTACAAGTTCATCGAAAAGCAAAGTGTTCTGAGCTCTCAGACGATTTACATCCATGTACGGTATCCGGTATCAGTGTATCAAGATGTATGATGGTAAGATGTCAAGATGGTAGGTAAGATGATAAGATGGTACCTTACCCTTTTTGTTTTTAGTATTTAGTATTATCAAGGTGTATGAAGTAACAGTCAAAGATATTTTTGTTTCAATTCCTTTTCACATGATGTTTCTGAGACCTGTGTTTGTCCTTAGTACACATGCAATGAGATATCCAAAAAAACAAGGCGGCACCGTAAAGGCAAGTCATTTTCCTGGACGATTGATCAGCCCCAGCTGGCAGCTGGGGATACGAGTTGGGCCACCGCACAGGCTGGGGCAAAGTGGCTAGCTCCTTTGCCATTCCCTCTCTGGGCATGGTGCCCCCTGACCAGCGCACGGAAGCCTTGCGGGGGCTGATGAAGCCACTCTTGACCGGGCCTTTAGCGAACATCATGAACAACATGCCGCTGGGCACCAATTCATGTTCACTTGTGATAGCTGGCCTCCAACATGGTAGATGGCTTCCGCATGGCAGCCATGGTGAACCTATATGCCTGGATCGCTGGGTGGCCACCCAGATGATATTGCATCGACCTCAGTTCCTGTAATTAGTCTCCCAGTCGTTTAACAAACTTGCTTTAGTTATACTAAAGTACTATGATACAGAATAAGTGGATGAGGGCAACTTACCACCAGGTGGAGATTCTTCCCCTGTTCATAGACGACTGGTTGGTTGGTTGTTTCAGTGTTCCAAAGCTTTGCCCGGAAGGATCAGATCTAAGAATGAACAATATATATATATCAATATATATCTATGAAAAACATTTTTCATATCAATCCAAATGACATACAGTTTCAGGTGGATTAGAACTGGGATGAGATTCTTGGGACTATGACCGTCTTGGAGTATTGGAGGGTTTGGTTCGCCTCACAGCCTCTGATTGTTTGCTTCTCTCTCTCTCTCTCTTTCTCCTTCCCTCGGTTTGGTCTAGCAGAGGGCCAAGACTGGCCACCTCACAGAATGATTTGCCTTATGATATCCAAGGCGTCTTGGTTCAGCCGGAGTTATTTGTTTTTGCCAGTCATTGACCCTTTCTACGCCAAAGAATTGAGCAAAGTGTGCCGATTGAGGATTCAAATCGTGGGTCTCAACCACCACACCTACTCCCGGGGCAGTGTCACGGCGGTTTCTTCGGACACCAAAGACGCGCCCGATGTCACGGCGAACTACTTCCAGGACGACAGGGATGTGCGGGTTCGGCTTCTTGCGATGAGGGAAAAGGATGGAAAGGGGTGGAAAGGGTCGACAGTTGATGAATCAAACCCCCTCGATGAAGAGGTTTGTACAATCCAAAGGGGAGGGTTGATAAATCAACAGTCTGCATGAGTGTAGCGGGTGATAGGTTACCGTTCTCATTCTGTAGAGGTCAGACGACTTCTTCTCATTGCCTTGGACGCGAGGTCCAGAGATGGACTAATATGTTTATTGTTCAACGGTTTAATGTATATATATATATTTATAGATATATGTTACTGTTATAGACGTAATTATATTATATGCAAATGAGATTCAATGCTTTTAAGTTCATGAGACCATGGAACATAATATTGGTACATGCCCTGTTGGGAGATTCTTTGCTTCAGGACGAGTTTACAGTCTCCAAACGGCCCGAAAGTCCTGCCATCCTGAGGACCCACGAGACATGGAGCAACAGTTCGTGGCCATGGACACCCTAAAGAAGGCGGCACCAACCGTTCGCTTCGCATCACAGGCCGCTTCGCGTACTCTTTTACCTCTCGCCGCGAGAGGTGATGCCGTACGTGGCATTTTTGTGCCTATCCACCAGGGGTCAAGTCCAGTCTCCCATGACCATCCCACCATGACCATCCCTCCGGGCTCGGGAGAAAAACATGGCATCGATCGAGAAAAAACGACGACGCTTCAAATCCCGTTCGACCTGTTTTCACGTCCGGAGTCAACCCCGTTTTTCCCATCGGGGTCGAAGCTCGAAGCGGTTGCACGAGGGCCGAAGCGCGGAGGGTCGGTTCGCATTGACCGGTGGTGCCATGGGGTTCCATGTGGTCCGAATAGCAGGGGAGTAACATCGCCCGCGGCCTGTCATCTTGGTCGGGGCAGCTGACGCAGCTGACCTTTACAGGTGGCCTACTCTGAAGCCTTGCAAGACCTGGTGAATGCCAAGACCTTTCATGGGAGCAATGCTGTGCTTCCCGTTTCTTGGGTTGTAAAAGAAACATGGGAAGATGTGGGAGGGACGAACGTGTGGGTGGAGAGGAATAGGAGATTGGGATTTGCAGTTGAGATTCAAGATGTTTTACTCACTTGGATTGAACCATTTATGTCATCATCTAATCATTTGGATTTAACCCTTTGGCAATGGCTCAGAATGCCAACAGTTCCACTCTTCTTGAACCATTCAGGCCGAGTCTCTGGCCGGAGGCTCTAGACTTCGCATACGCGGGCCCTTTGGGATGGACGAGTGGATCGATGGTTTGGAACTGAAGAGCTGGGCTCGCCCAACTCATGAAATAGACGTATATACATCTTGGTACAGTGTTACAATTTGTTGCAGCTAGTCCGCGCTTGTCTCCCGGACCCTGAGTGTAGCACTTGTCTCCCAGTGCTAGTCTGATTGTGACATGGATGGTCATGGTCATACGATGTCATGCGGTCGTGACATGCATGGTCATCATCAAGATGGTCGTGAGCAATGACATTTTCGGCGCTGCTGGCGTAGGTCCAAGCAAGCGTAGCAAGCGTTTTCAGACGAATCACATGTACTCGTTGTCACATGACTCGTATGAGGTGGGAAACGGTGTATGCATACCTTTTTTGTTGAAAGCGAAAGCCCTTAGGCTATGCAACAAGAAGAGATTTAGTTTCAATGCTTCTGCTATCATGTCCGACAGGGCCTTGGGTTCAGCTGTCCTACGTTTGTCCAGAACAGAAGCATTTGTTTGTTGTCCACAAAGTCACCAAGACCCAATAATTTCGCATACCCTCCGGTTTGATCATCTCAGCACTGCTCAGCTGGCTTGTGAGGTCTACCTCAGCTGCCTGGGAAAGCCACAAACTGATGCAAAAGCCATCATCATCCCGTGCCTTCCGACACTGGGGCTATCTCGACTTCCAAGTTCACACCCCAAGCCACGGACCAGCCACGGACCCAAATCCACCAGATGTTTATGCAAAAAGAAGACACATTTAGAATACCACTTGTTTGTTGAGGAACAAACAAACAAACACAATAGAGAATACCACGTGTTTGTTGAGGAACATGGTCATCCAACTGGGCCATGCCATCCCATCGATTCTTTCAGGTTTCGGGAGTGCAGTGAGGGTGGAACGCCCCAGCTGCCTGTTTTCTCCTCGTTTCGACACTCAGGAAGAGTTGGATCTCCCAAACTCCGATCTCCGTCCTCGAAAAAGAGAAACAAGTTGTTTTGATCTCATGTCGCTTGGTCTTCGCTTGAAAGCTTCATGTTTCCCGGTGATTTCGAAGCTTGCGCGAATTAAGGAATGAAGGAGCGTCTCGAAAGGACTTCGAAGCGTCTTGGTTTTGGAATGTTTTGGTAAACGTCGCCTCGCTCCGTGCGGGAGAGACGTCGTGCCTCGAAGACTTACCGTGTTCACACTGGTCGTGCTGCAGCTGTCGTTCCCAAGACGGTCGCAAAAGTCCCCAAGACCAGCAAAAAACAGCCGTTGTGGTAATTGCCCATAATATATTATATATACACAATACAATACACGATATTGTATTGTTTATGTTATATCATATTTGAATGTTTATGTCGGTGCTATCATTGGGGTGGGCTTGCAGCTTGCTTGTCCATTTGGATGCGATGCGGATCTTCTGATCAGGAGCATCATTGTCGCAATTTTGCCAATATGTTCTTTGACAGCGTTAATTTGGTCTATGGCTTCGCGTTTTGCCGTTGTGCTGAAATTCCGAAAATGACTTACTGTATGTGTATCATTGTGCAATCTTCACCATGGTCAACTGGCTCGCACTCAACGTACTGGTGCTGGCCATGAATAAATTTCCAGTGAACATCCCGGAGGCCAAAGTTCTAGCAGCAGTGAATCTCTTGCTGAGGTTCTTCTGGATGATTTTGGAAGGTCGCGTCTTTCCCGTGGTTGGGCATCTCATCATTGCTGTTCTTCAATCCCTTTGCCCCAATGATCGGCATGTTTGCCTTCATGGGAATGATGTTTTCCACCTGTGCTTTGACCTTTCTGATCATGAAGGATGATGAGCGAAGCATCCCCTATGTTTTGCTGAATCTGTACCAGGCATTGCTTTTGGCTGATGGTAATGGGGCAGAAGCCATTCAATTATGTATAGTATTGTATAGTGTTTTACAATGTGTAATGTTATATTATTTCGATTATAGTATATAATAATATATAATGTTAGTAGTAATGTTAGTTATCATGTTATATTCATTCAATTAACGCATAACATGATATGTGATGTTTCAATTATAGTATTGAGTATTTATACAATGATAAATACTGTTATATTCATTATACAATATCATTATAAAATTGTATATTCATTATAACATATATATTACATTGTTTTTTTAATATATATATATATATCATGTTATGTTATATAATATTGTGTTGCAATACAGTATACTATATTCGTTCTCATGATTGTGTTCGTGCCTGGCAGATCTTAGTAGGGTGTCGGTTGTACGTAGGGGTTTATGTTGATGGGAATTGACCACCAGAACCTGAAAACGTGTCCTTGTCCCATGTCTTGGTGGGTTTCTCCATCTCACGTTTCCATGGCGTTGATGTTGATTGAACTTGTCACAGAGCACATATTATTCATTGATTCGTATTCATTTACATATATATATATATATATATGTATGTACATACACATACACATACATAGATGCATGTCAGAGTGGAAATGGGCTTGCCTATGTATTCTCGAGCCCAGGATCACTTCAAGAACACGGTGGTCTCGTCCTATCACTACTTTGGCAGTGCAGCCTTTGGGAAAGTGGTTGAAGGTCATGATATGAAGGTGAAGGGGATCGAGAATCTCCATGTGGCTTGGCTTGAACTGAACTACTTGATGTCATTGGTTGAGGGAAGTATACAACGGGGTGCTTCCAAATTCACAAATAGAAGCATTGAAATCGGATCCTCAGGGTTCGTTGAGAACGGAGACAGGAAGGCTCGACGAACGGTTCACAAGAACTAACGGGTCACATGAGAGAACACATCCAAGCAACAAAATGCGCATCAAGCACGTTGATGACATGAAGTGACAACGTAGCCAACATTAATTTATGGAGTTCGTGGTGCTTTGTACTGAAACCAGGTGCCTTCCTGCTGTGGTGTTTTCTACACTTCCAGCTTCATTTTACAGGTCCTTTTTTATACTATGGTGCTGCAGCAGACATTGCTTACAGTCAACATTAAACAATATAACATAGATATACATATACACACTCTTATTATATCCTCTTATAGAAGAAACTTGGTATGGTGGTGAATGCAGCAGCGTTTCTATTGGTGATATCTCAAAACCTTTCTATCCAGCACCTTCCAGCACTCCTTCGACAGGTCACGAGGGTCACGAGGGTCCATGTATTCTCAGCGATTGATCCCAGGTGGCTGATGCCTCAATCTTTCCGAATCCCACGCGCTCCTCGTATTTGATGGCCGGTGAAACGAAGGGTCTCCCAGGTTCTTTCACGACTGTTCCACATGTGTTTTAAGGATTTCTAAGGATTTAGGGTTCAATCCTTTCAGGATTCATGAATATTCATGATCCAAAGTTGAGGATGACGTTTGCCTTTTTTGAAGTGACCATCTTGGCATCTACTGAGAGTTCAGTCACATCCACTTGGGGATATGGTAGTTTACTTGCTTTGCTCTGAACCTTTATGAATCCAAAGTGGTCTATTTCAGAGCTGTGTGCGTGTGTTCCACAGTGTGTGTATGTGTTTGTGCTGGACTTGACACAAAGCAGCGGAAGATGCTGCCTGGACAGCTCGCAAGGCTGGCAGGACAATTTCCTTAGAAGTAGTGCACCAAGTTTGTCTTGAGTCTTTCAGTTGAAGCAGAGCACAGATGGGGAAGATGATCATTACAGTGTTGTGAAGGGATTTCTCTGAACCTATTTATGCATATACAGTGTATATATATATACACACAGTGTGTATATAATTGTGTATATATATACTCACACATCTCCGACCACATCAATTATCCAGTATTTCTCACATTTGATGCGTATCCACACGAACTTATCTGAAGGGTTTGGTGGATGACATATTTCCCCTGTGCTGAGAATGACTGGCTTCTTTGCATTCCTTAAAGCCTGTACGAACGTACAAAGGTCCGTTCAATGACACGACAGTGTTCTTCGACAAGAAGATACAAGAAGTCCAGTCTGTGTGGTTCCTTTGAACATAACCACCAGGCTCAACACCCTTGAACCCATCCCATAAGGGGGGTTAAATGCTCCAAAACCTTTTCTTAAGTAAGTATAGACATGTTCTTCCTGGCGTTCATGGTCGAATCATTTCAGACACAAATCCATCAGCATCCATCAGCAAACCTCAGACTTGAGGAAAGACACCCTAGTTTACAACAAACTTCAATATCTGAAAGCTAGATTGTCATCATAAAGAGCATCAAGTCTGGCGTGCGGCTCAAGGTACATTGGCCTCCTTTGGTCAAACAAGAACACATGGGCATTCTGCGTCGTTCCTTTCTATGGCTTTCTCAACCCTTTTTGGGTTTTTCATAAGAATGCATATGAATAAGACCGTCCTTTTCCAAATACCTCCAAAAAGAAGGTCTACCGATGTTTTGACGCGAAGAAACCCAAGCCATCCATCCCACCACCCACCCATCCTATCCCATCCGCCGTGGTGAGGTATCAATCCGCAAGGGACCATCATGGCCGCTGGGACCTTCCGTTCAGCTGGGTGAAGCGCGACCGGTCACCTGGTGATCACCTCCAAGCATTGGACACACATGAAGCACCGGGTCGAACCTGAGCTTGACCTCTATTTTGGACCACCAACCACCCAACAATATGGCCCAAACTTCCTATCAAAACAGGGGTCAGGACTGGGTTCCAGGAACGACATAGGTCATGGCGCCTGAAGCTCCGTGGACCGTAGGTTGACCCTCGTTGACCCTCGTTGACCGTGCACAGGCTCGGTGGTTCGGTGGTCCACCAGAGGTCGCCGAAGCCAGCCAGGCATTGTATTGTGTGGGTCAAAGAAGGAGGTTTTCAGAATGGGTTAGGGAAGATCTGTGTGGGATTCCCAGCTCAACATCGATGCGCCAATGATTCTTAGTCTTAGTATGCCTGTCGTATGCCTTTCCTGTCCAGCCGATCGCCTTCTCATCAGATCGAGGCCTCCACCAAAAGGTACTCAAAGAAGCCTTTGTCATCAGTACATCGCTCCACCTCCACAGTCCACATCGGCACACGCTTCATCTCCCAGGCCATGGGCCACTATCTGGGCACACGCTTGGCCAAGTCCAGGCGCAATCTCAAGAAGACATCGAGCGATTTCAGGTTCCAACGGACGAACTTCGGATGTCTTCTGGGAATGTCACATTGGGGAAACTTCATAAGTATATGGTCCAATGGTTCGTGACGAGTCGTGGTGTGCTGTCCGTGGTGTGCTGTCCGTGGCGACCAGTCCAACTGGTCAGGAGTCGGTCGGTGAGTCAACTGGTCGGTCTCCTGGTACCATACTGCCATGACCCACGACATCTCACAGCCATATATACCTAGAGCCTGACTGACCTCTGTTTTGATAGGCAAAGACCATGTTAATTTTGGATAGTTGATCCTCCCAAATCCAGGTCCATTGTTTCGAAGGGAAGAGTATAGAAGGCAACCGTTGACCGGGCCGATTCGGGGTGGACTGAGATTCAAACCCATGGTTGAACGTTGCACGCGGTGTTATTCAGTCTTCAAAACAGGTTGCTTGTAAACTTAGCATGTGAACTCCTTCCTGGATTCGCCTGGGTTCAGTGTTTGGCCACATGATCTTTTTATGTCTTTTTGGGAATTTGCTTGTATTCAAAGATTACACCTCCAACTGATAGAGGAATTTCTTTCACCACCTTGGGCCTTGGCTTCGACAGTCCCAAGCACCTCAGGGTAAATGAAGCAGGTTTGAGGCTTCCTTCGATGGACAAACATCAACATCCCAGCCTTCCCAGTTCCACCACGTGGCACTCGACATCGTCCGTTTTCGGTCACCACAGACTCGACGTCCGAGACTCGTCGTTTTCGGTCCGCGAACCGCTCCGCTCCGCGTCTGACCGTCTCTTCGACGGACGCAGGCGCTTGATGGACTCCACGGACATTCATGTGTGAAGGACGGTGCGAGGCGAGCGAACCGTTGTGGACGTGCGTGCGGTGTGGACGTGGTTTTCGTCGTTTTCGGGGCCGGCTAAGAAAATGACAGTCGAATACAGTCGATCTTGGTATCTCAATGTTTTTTCCGATGCTTTTCTCAAGATTGAATAGAATGCTTTTCCCCCGAGGACGAACACGATTCCGTTCCGGAAAGAGGATGTGACCGGTCTATTCCGGTCTGTCGGTCCGAAGACGAAGATCCTCGGAATCCGAAAAAGCTTCAACCTCTTTGTGTTCGACTAAGTCCATGGAGTCCATTGACCATGTTTGTTGGTTATGTGTTGCAATCCCTTTTTTTGTACGATGCAGCTTCCTTCAGCGGTATATTTGAGGGTTATAGACATAAAGCCGTGTGTATAGAACTACTGAGGCTGACCTGTAGGAAACGCCTCTTCGACAGCGATCTATCACCTGTGGGGTCAAATACTGGTTTGGGCGTGCTGTGGTTTGGATACTCGCCGGGATCTCCATCCTGCCTAGCTTAAGTACTGAGAGGTTCGCCAGCGCAGTCCTGCTGAGGTTTGCCAACGCGTAGACCTTTTGTGGAGAGCTCCCTCTCAACCAGAAGATGGGAGAGCACTCCATGCGAATTTGATTTAGACGGTGACATGTGTCATGTGATAAGTATGAGTTCTGCAAACTGTACAGCTCGTTCGATTCTCCCATTATTTTCTATTCACAGCTTCAGCAAGCACAGTTGTACAGCCTGTAAAGAGCTGGGATCGGATCCACTTGGCTTGATCTGAAAGCGTGAAACTTGTATGGAGCGAGCGGGGCAGGAACCACCACGCTGTGACTCGACCTCGCTTCTACCATGCTGTCAAGTCTGGCTGGTAGGTGCAGGTCATCTGACTATATAATTGCTTTCTGACTTATGATTCTTGCGACAAAAAGGTCGGGTTCTTGACATGGAGCTGAACAACGGATGGGGATTGTGTTCAGACCGGGAACAGATCAGACGCCTCTTGTGTCCCTTCTTTTGACTATAGTTTGTTTAACTACCACCAGCAGCATATAGCAGCATGTTAGATGAAGAAAGTATATGACGATCGCTTTAGCAGGGAATCGTTTCCTTCAAGTTGTTGGGCGCATCAGCCTGCAGCCCACACCAACCATGAAGAACCTTGCCCGAAAACACTCGAGTACAGCTGGCCATTCTGCCCGTAGCCAAACGGTTGCATGCATTGTTGACAAGTTGACAAGAGTATCATGTAGTATCATTCCGCTTGCATGAGCATGAACAAGATTCTGTGGGATCCCAAAGGACTATAAACCGGTTCGTCTTTGCGCCAGCGAGCTCCATCACGTTCTTCCTTAATTTGTCAACACCCGGCCTGTCACCCTGTGTTTCGCCGTGGAGTCCGCCTCACAAGGCGTGGTTTGGGAGGCAAGCTGGGGCAGAAGTTGCGAGAAGCACTGCAGTTGGACCCCGAAAGTCCCACCGCAGAACTGCAGAAGGCGCGGCGGCACCGTCGTCGGGTCCACCGTGGAGAAGGGTGGGAGGTCGAGCCGGTGGAGGCGGGCCGCTTCGTTGTGTTGAGATGGTGTTGAGGCTCCAAAGGCCTGCTTTAAGCACATCTCTGAAAGAGTAAAGAGGGATCACTGAATCCATGAGGCCATTTTGGGTGGACTCAGTGGACTCATGTACATTTGATGTTCGAATGTAAAGCATCCACTGTGACCTGTTTCTTCACTGATGGGGTCATGAACTCCATGCTGTAGGTAGCACATCCTTCCTTTAGGATGTGCTAAGGGATTTCTGCATCCATGTGAAGTCGACTGTACCGGCTGCACCATCCGTAGCATCCGATCCGTCAGACGCCAGGCCGATCCCGGGGCAAAAAAGGGGATGGGATGTGTTGTACGTGGAAGGCGACAAGTCAAACCTGAAGGCATCACACCAAACAGTTTAACAGTTCAATCTGTATTCAGCCACCACCATAACCATGTGCAGCTCGTCCGATTCATTTTTGCACGGTTCACCTTGGACCTCGAGTACTTGGCTTTGACGGGCGTTGGAAAGAACACATCTCAAGAATTCAACCTGCTCGCAGCATATCGCAGCCGCTCGGTTGTTGCGACTGACTTTGCCTCCTCCTGTCTCCTTATTCTCCTTGCTCCAGCCAAAAGCCAGTTTCAGTGAATGCGATCTGAATAGTCCATGAATGCATTTGATGCATGTGTATCTCCTATTAGCTCCCCATGGATCCGTAACTGAAGAGGATCCTTTTTTGATCGCCGAGCACATATCCCTTGCTGCTCAAGGAAGCATTGTTTGTGGTTGCAAATGCCGGAGCCTTTTTGCGTCTCATGGAGCGTCCACCCGAGCCGGGGGACTCCACTCCACTCCACCCGAGCCAGGTTCCCTTCGCCGAGCTCCAGCGGATTGTGGGAGACCAGCCATCGTGGGCACGTTTGCACGAATCGCCGGCAAACAGAGGCAAACATAAAGCAGGTTTACCACAGCGGAGGTGTTCAGTGTTCGAATTCTTCTGCTGGAGTCCCAGTTGTGTTGATTTTCGTTTATTGCACTCCAACTGAAGTTCAACATCCGACTTGGGAGAATCCACTTGACTCTTTGTATCGAACATGGTGAAAATACGTATGTTATGCTGGCAAGAGAGACATAGAAGATACACTCCCGGAAACGAACATAGACCCTGACAATGGCCCCTGGAAGATTGTTTTCCTCTTCTAACCAGTGGTTTTCAGGGTCCATGTTAGTCTTCCAGGGTGTATACATTATAACTCAAGGACTTGCTATGATTTCGCCGTGGGTCAATCAAAGATTTGCATATCGACGAAGCTATGATCAGGCTATGATCTCATCACTGGCATCCAACTCACCATGGGTGAAGAAGTCCTATAGGTTTGTAGATGTGTTTGTCTACGTTTCTTGTGTTTTGTGGCACCTGCGCAAGCAACATCGTTAAACAGTCTTGAGGGAATACTCAATGTCTCATGTTATATTCTGTTTGCCGCAGGCTTTTTGGGGCGTTTCACAGTCCGCCAGGAAGTTTTGTTACGCTGGAAGAACATGCAAGCACCATGTGCTGAGCTGTTCTAAAAGGGTCAGAACCTCCGGCAAAAACATCGTACCATATCACTATATATATAGTGTATGTAAACTATATGTTTTACTGGCTCACAAATGAGCCTTTTTGTCGTTTCAGCCTCATCCCAACAGAGAAAAGCCAGATCTTCCAACTGTGCAAAACGTTTGCCATTGGGTAGGTTTTATAGATGTAAAAGACAGACATAAAGCACGGTCAGAATATGAATAATCCAATATACATACCTTCAGAGATAAGGACACAAAAAATGGTACAGAGTGAATCTTCATCCGGACGCGGCCGGTGCGGACGCTTAATGACGCCTTTTGGACGCAAAAAGACGCGTTTTGGACGCCAAAAAAAGGTCTCAGGACACTGTCTAAGGAGGATCTGACAGGGCACAAACAAAAGAGGAACATTTCGTGACATATGCAAAAAGAGTGCTTTCTTTCAATAACATCTTTTTCTTGGAAAGGCAAATTTAAAAGGGTCATTAAAAACTCAAGGATATACATATACAGTATATATTATACAGTTATATGTCTCGATATATACAATACAACTAACATATAATATATCCCCCTCGTGGTGCATCTAGGGTCCGCCAGGTCCGCCTCTATGGTGCATCGCCTCTGCCGGGGCGAGGATCGAGAGGAGGTGAAGCCGGGCGAGATGAAGAGGAGCCGCGGCGATCCAACGGAAACGGTGAAGCCGAAACGATCGGCGAAACGGTCAGGGAGGACTGAGAGTCGAGAGCCGAGAGGACTTCGGTCGTGGAGACACGGCCGAGAGGACTCTGGGCATCAAGCGACAAGTCCGGATGATGATTGGGATGTGGCGGGGAGAAAGAAGTGGCAAATCGTTAGTTATGGATTTCTTTGCAACAGGGCATGATTTACAGCATGAGCTCTTATGAGACTCTTATGTTAAGTTATGTTTGATGTGTTGTTTTGATGTTTGTTCAAAGCTATCGAAAAGTACATACGACGCCTGTACTTTTTCTCCAGTATAAACCCGCCCTGGTTGCAAGCATTTCAGGCCCAGTAGTGAAAGGTAGACGAAGGGACATACCATAAGGCAAAAAAGTGTTTGGCAGCGACTTGTCCGTATGAGTGCCCGTCCTGCAGTAGCTGGGTGCCTTGCACGCTGCAGGAAACAGTACCTCAGCTTCAAGTCCCTGTCGCCAGCAGCCGAGAGCGCTTCCGGCCTTGTTTCTCAGGTCTTGTAGACATTTGTAGACAAAGATCATCCCTCGGATCTGGAAGACTTGAGTTAAAACATGTTTTCAACCATGTCTTTCAAGAAAAGCAGCGTTTGTTTAGTCGGCCGACCCAGAGTTCCCTGTATCCCATCGGTGGTGGACGAGCGGACAGCCGACCTTTGGCGACGGAAAAGTGGGTTCTCGTTCGACAGCTCCAGCGATTCATGCAGCCTTTGGCTGAAGCGCCAGCTATGGCGCCTTGTTATGGCGCCTTGTTATCCATTGAATTTGGAAATGGTGGACACGTCGAAAGGGGTCAGGCTATTGAGTGGGGCGAAACAAAGCAGACAAACGCCAACACCTTTGGCTGGGTGCATGCCTATATAGATCGGCTTAGCAAATCACCCGTAGCAATTGTGAAGCAAATCGTCAAATCCGAGCCTCAAAAAGCAGACCTTTTCACCATTCTCCACTGGCACCATCCCCCGCTCCCCTTTCGTGCGCGTGATCGTGGTGCGGATGGACACCATGCAGCGCTACATTGGCCGCTCTTCCACGGCCTTTCTGCATCGACCCACGAGCAAGCAGAAAGCGGTGAGTTCAGCAGAAGATGTGTTGAGCCTCCTGGCCCCACAGGCGCGCCGAAGCCGGGTGCCGGCTGGCGCAGCCGGCCCGGGTTCGGTGGAAGCGGAAGCTGGCGGTGGTGACAGCAGTGGTGACAGTCCCCTTTGAGAAATGATTGATGGTTTCAGAATCTTTCACAGCAAAGCAAATATGCAAGCTTGCCAGAAGATCAGGGTGGTAGGCTAGTTCACCAGCAGTCACGGCAGTCCAGACTGCAAAACCGGACCGATGACCAGATGACCGGTCGGAGGGATCGGGAATGAAGGGACGGGCCCCAGACTCAGTCCCTACCAGGGGCCCGAACCAAACCATGAAAAGGAGAGGTTTTCACATACCAAAACCAGTTGTTTTGCTAGGGAAAACCAGGTTTTTGATGGTTTGTGGGGCCCCTGCCTGGTAAACCATACAGTGCCAGACTCAGTCCTACTCCAAACAAGACGCTCGTGACGGAGGGCCATGAATGTTCTTGTTTGAGTTGTAACATCATGGCTTTTGAGGGTGCAGTATTGCATGTTTGGTTGTTGCTAGGTTTATTCTTTTTCGCTTCACTGAAAGCATTTGATGTCAATTTCCAGCAATTGAAGTGTTGTATAGCTCTTCCATATCACCAGTTAATTCATCATATATTCGCAATATATACATGGCCTGGTACACTACATTCAACTATCATCATGCTCGTGGTCAGTCTCTTTCGACGGAACGACATGTTTGTGTTTCATAAAGATTCAATCCGATTCAATCTGCCCACTCTTCCTGGCATGTGCTATTTTCCCACAACAACACCTGCATCCCACGTTGATGTGGGGCGTGGACAGGCGATGAAGGGCGATCTGCGAAAGCGTTTACAACAAGAGCAGGTGCAAACGGCTGTGGACCTGGCCGAACTCGACAAGGTGCACGCGACGGTCGCGACGCACGGGACTTGATGGAAAAGGTGCGAGATCGGCTTCCCGAGATGATCGAGATGATCTCGTCCGTTTTTGGCTTGGACCAATGCAAGTGAGTGAAAGCGCGTGGTTTTGGGGGCTCGCGTCCTGAGGTCTTTCGCAGCTGCTTGCGTCCTGGCCCTTCCAATTTACTGTGTCAAAACAGCTACTGCTTAGAGCACCTAGAATCCCACCACAAGCTCTTCTGCTCAGGTTCATCTCCCCTTCATCAAACCTTGCACAAACACTTCACTCCTCAAAACTCTTTGTTCGCTTCCTTTTCGCCCAATGCCATGCAAACCCCAGATTAATCAACCGCCCCCCCCCTGGTTTAACTAGGGGGGGGGTTATTAATCCTACCTTTGCATACCTACATCCCCACTGCCTCACCTCCCAGGAGGATTTGCGCGACCTGGGCCTTGGCATGGTGGAGCGCCGTCGGGTGCTGCGCTGGGCCGCCAGCACCGAGCCGAGCCTCGGTCCGGTCCGTTCGATCCGATCAGTGTGAAGGTGAATCTGTCCACAGGCGCTTCGGGACGGAAAAGTGTCCTGTTTTGGAGTGACGAAGCGTCACCAGTTGCGTCACCCCCTTATGTTTTGGATGTCAATGTCAATGGCCGAGAAATGACAGCATGCACCGCCAGCTTTAAAGGACAAGGAACAGGATGATTATCAGATACAGTGTCCATGCAATTCTAGATGTACTGCATTTTGTCCAAAGGTGAACTAGTACGAACATATATATGAACTATATAATAGTATCATGGCGGCAGGTTGACGAGAAATCAACCAATCGGCTCCGTTACCAGCCGACTCCTATGTCGACTCCCTTCGTCCGATTTCCAACCGGCGGCCTTCGGTGGTCTAAGGACGAACTACCTGGAGAGCCTGCGGACCTCCGACGAGATGTTCGGTGCAGAGGGAAGGCCCATCCATGCACTTGAGAAGGCAGAGACAGAGGAGATGGGGATAGGGAAGGCGAGACCTCCCCCATGGGACAGGGAGGTAAATGTCACACTCAAGTGGGTACAATCGGGGATTGTGTAGGTCCTTATAAGTGCCTTTGTGTGTGTGTTTTTTAAAGACGTGATGTGGGTCTTTTCATGTCTTTTCTAATTGTCGGTTTCCAGATGTTGGAGATTTCGGGGAACTGGGCCAGGGCGATATGTTGGAAATATTTGTGAAGGGGTGAGCAATTTGGCAATACTTGGCAAAAGGTCCTTAATGATCGAATGATCCTTAATACATTGTCATAGATTGGTCAAGTGGCAGTCAAGTGGCTATCCTTCCAGATGTGCTGTTGAGTCTTTGGAAGTGCTGGTCAGACAAGACAAAGACTGACCTATGTGCCACAGGTTCCACGGTGCTTCTACCGCCCATTCTTTGTAAAGCTCTTATCGATGCAATGTCAGAAAGCCATAATATAGGTTTTGGTATTTATAATGTTGTGGTAATTGATGGTCATGGATTATGCTGTGCTGTTGTGAGGCTTTCTTAAGGGGTGTCCACGGAATTCTGGTGCAACGGTGCCCGAGCGTGACTGCACACATGTCTCCAGACCACAGCTGTCGAAGGGTGCTTCGACAGCTGTCGAGTGAACCACCCGCACTTTTCCAGTGATCTACTGTGAGTAACTGCTCCCTACCAAAAAGCCCACGGGCATCCAAGCAGTGACCTGAAAAAAAGACGGACACGAGGCCTGGCGCCCGACTCGACCGCGTCGCCGTTTTCGCACCGACTCGACCGCGTCGGGTCGGATCGTGCAGACGACGACCGTGGTGTCGCGAGGCTCAAAGTGATTTGGATTTGTGGTTTTCGCTGGCGAATTCCACGTACTTTCCAGCCTCCTGGCCGGCCGTTCTGGGCCCAGGGGGCGAAAAAACTGGTGACATAGCTGAACCTCGCTTCGGTAGAGGAACACTGACCCAATCAAGGAAAGCATTGGATTTGTACATCAGCAGATGGCTTACTGCAGTAGATCAAAGTTTCTGGCAGGGAGATAACTGATAACCATAAGGCCCTCAAAATTGGCACGCAGAGGGATGTTGCTGGTGCACAATTCATGCTAATTCAGGCCGCTTCCCAAACCACCACCATTCCTGCGTTTCTTTCGCAGCCCCCTTGCTTCCGGCACCCCTCACCCCCAACAACCTCCTACAACCACAACTTGCATGAGTCTGAAGCCTCAAAGAAACCTCCGTGTTTCATACCAAAAATGCTGGCTGTGCCATTTTTTGGGCTGTTCCAGCCTCCGAGGTGCTCATGCGTCAGCTGAGGGAGTCCCTCTCGGGCAGTGAAAGCCTGGCCGCCGACAGCGAGATCCGCGAGTCCAACTTGCGCTCGCGGAACATTCGTGCCTCGGTGAGTCTACCCCGCCGGGACGCTCCGAGTCGCAGACCGTGCGCAAGATCCGCCATCACGGGGGGGGGGGGAATGTGGGGATGGTTGGGCAAATGAAACTGGTTGGTTATAGGGGTAACATGGTGGAGTTATAGGCCGGGCATAAGGTGGTTTCTGCGGAGGTGAAAAACGACATCGTGCTTAAGTGGATGTTCAAGCAAAAGTGCTGCAGACTGAATATATAAATACTTTTAATTACTTTTATTACGGCACATGACAGATGTGCATGCGGCTGCAGAAAGAAGATTATGGTGAGAGTGAGGACTCTTCTTGTGATTCACTGTGTTTACATGTCTTGCCGGAATCTTATTGGAAATTGAGCACTCTGTTATTAGATGGGGGCCATCGCTACTAGGTTGGAGGCCATCACTAGTATAGGTTGGAGGCCATCGCTTTCTCTCTTGGACTTTGACCCAGGAGAAAACATGTTGGAAGAGCACTTTGATCTAACGCCTGAAAGGATCAAGGAGTCCTCGGCCTCAGTACCAAAGCGTTTGAATGAGTCTCAGAAATGGATGGGACTGTGGCAATCGATCACAGGTTTTGTCATTGACCCTTGGGTCACTCTTGAGCAACCAAGTCGTACCTGTGCGCAAATTCACATGTCAACATCACCTGAGGCAAACGGTTCGATGCACCGGGTTCGCATGTATTCCCAGCTTCCACAGCTGATCAAACGGGACCCATGTCACACCAAATGGAGGATTGGTATCAATTCAACAACAACCAAGAATTAGAAGTGAAAGGACACACATCTCTTGTGTATATATATACACATGATTACAAGTATATATACACGTTTGATAAGATTACAATATTGTAATTTGCAGGCCTACAATCAACATATACTGATGGACAAAATCTTGCTTCACTATCTTCACTGCATCGACGGCATCTTGTGGTCCAATGTAACAGTAACACATGACACTGGCCCCGTGCCCACAATTCTTAGATTACCTTAGATTCTTCAGAACAATCTAACAAAGGGAGCACCAGGCTAGATCAACAGGTCTCCTTTGACTGCAAGAAATCTGGTCAAAAAGAG